TGAGAGAACTGTGACCGACCCAAAGTCACCCAGCTGGCTGTATGTGGAGGAGGAGTGGGGAATCAAACCCGGTTCCCCAGATTAGAAGAAGAGATTGGATTTATACCCAGCCCTTCACTCAAAGTCTCAGAGCCGCTTACAAACTCCCTTCCCTTCCCCACAACAGACACCCTGTGAGGTAGGCGGGGCTGAGAGAGCTCTGACAGAAACTGCTCTTTTTCAAGAACAGCTCTTATCAGAACTACGGCTTGCCCAAGGTCATCCAGCAGCTGCAAGTGGAGGAGTGGGGAATCAAATCCGGTTTTCCCAGATTAGAGTCCATGCACTCAACCACTACACCAAACTGGCTGAAGAGTTTAGGGAACAGGAGCCATGTTGTTTTCTGCTTGTTCCTGAAAATGTACTTAGAAAATTTCTGGATCACTATTCCAGTCCTCAAAAGCAAACAGGCGGCAGTATTTTGGATTAACTGAAGTTTCTGGACTGTCTTCAAAGACAAGGTCACAGAATGGGTCACGGCCGTCTAACCTGGATGATGGGGGCCTCGAGCGCGGGGCTCCCGGCAGATGCAGCCGGCAAAGCACCTGACGAGGACACAAGAGCACCACTCGCAGCTGTGGGTTAGTGTGACAATAAAAAAAGGCCAACACTATGCTGGGGATTATTGGGAAGGGAACTGAAAACAAATCAGCCAGTATCATCATGCCCCTGTATAAATTGATGGTGCGACCTCATCTGGAGTACTGTGTACAGTTCTGGTCACCACACCTCAAAAAGGATATTAAAGCATCGGGAAAAAGTGCAGAAGAGGGGAACTAGAATGAAAGAAGAAGGAGAAGGAGGAGGAGGAGGAGGGGAGAAGGAGAAGAGGAGGAGGAGCCTGGATTTATACCCTGTCCTTACTTGGAGTCTCAGAATAATTTACAAACTCCTTTCCCTTTCCCTCCCCACAACAGACACCCTGTGGGGCTGAGAGAGCTCTGACAGAAACTGCTCTCGAATGATAAAAGGGTTGGAACACTTTCCCTATGAGGAAAGGTTAAAGCGCTTAGGGCTCTTTAGCTTGGAGAAACGACGACTGAGGGGTGACATGATCGAGGTTTACAAGATTATGCATGGGAAAGAGCAGGTCGAGAAAGAGGTACTTTTCTCCCTTTCTCACAATACAAGAACTCGTGGGCACTCAATGAAATTGCTGAGCGGTCGGGTTAGAACGGATAAAAGGAAGTACTTCTTCACCCGAAGAGTGATGAACACATGGAAATCACTGCCACAGGAGGTGGTGACGGCTACAAGCATGAACGGCTTCAAAAGGGAATTAGATAAGCATATGGAGCAGAGGTCCATCAGTGGCCACAAGGTGTAAATAGGAACTCTGGGGCAAGTGATGCTCTGTATTCTCGGTGCTTGGGGGGGGGGCAACAGTGGGAGGGCTGGACCCCCTGATGGCACCTGGTATTTTTGGCCACTGTGTGACAGAGTGTTGGACTGGATGGGCCATTGGCCTGATCCAACATTGACTTCTCTGATGTTCTTATGTCTGTAAAATCACAAACCTTGCATTACGGATAGAGTTGCCGGATTCTGTGCAGTCACAAGAATCTCCTGTAGCCCTGTGTTGATTTACATTTGCTATTTTCATTTCATCCATGTAACTTTTTAAATGCAAGCATTTCTGGCACAGCATGTATTCTTGTGCTGGCCTTTTACCCCAATAAATAATTAATTTGTTCATTCATTAGCAAAGCTGGACCTTGGAGCTCCTCCAAACTATGAAACAGATTCTCAAGGGAATACAGAAGCCCATTCAAGACAGGGACTTCAGCCCAGCTTCCGTTTCAGTTCATTCCTATTTAGCTCTGCTCTTCTTCAATGTTTGAGTTGGTTTTCAACAGGTGGGATTAAGCGACGGCTCATGAAAAAAAACTGAATGATTTTTTTAAAGATCTGGTGGCAAGGTGAGCTTTTAAAACTTTTTTGTTCTAAGTTCCATATTTGTACCAGATTTTGGAAAAGTGTGAGGACATACCAGAATCTATCTCCATATCAGCTGGTGAGACTTCAGTATTGTTTCTCTTCTGCTTTTTTGGATTATGAGTGCCCTGGTGAGGTGAAGGCCTTTTATGGCTGGACTTCGGACTTGCCTAAGGAAGGATCAGAAAGCAGTATATTCAGAACTGCAGCGCGAACAAGGCCGTATACGTTCCTCATGGGTTGTAGCCATAGGGAAACGAGGCCGTGGTGACCCGGTCCCCTTAGCAATAATCTAGACACCCCCTGATCAGTTTTCATTTGATCTAGTCCTGAAACTTACATGCAACTTGCATTCATTCCCACCTTTCAGCATTTTTGGCCAATGACAGCAAAGGTATCGGGATGACCGACAAGCTCACTTTAGAATGCAGTCGTACATTACACACTTTACATAAAGTAAAATTAAAATTTTAAACATATTTAGGGAGCACATCATGTCTCCACACGGCCAAGGAGCTCACTGAGTACCTATGGACCAGTCACTCTCACAACCTGAACTCTTTAGGTCAAGGAGCAGGAGATATCTGCATCCCACTCTTCTGCCCAATTAGGGCCTTCAAGGTGGTGGTGAAGAGGTCAAAAGACATTGAAATCGATTTAAAAACAAGACACATACATGTAACAGCAATTAAACAAAATCTGCAACTGAATCTAGACCTCTCAGGTGGAGGGAGAGTGAGGCCATTACACTGTGCCGCTTTTCTCTTCCCTGCTCAGCTGGAGGCGCTGGGTTGCTGGCGGGAGCTCTAGAAAGCCCTCAATGGCTGCTGTTCAGCATACCTGCCTTCACTAGCATCAGGGGTCATTTCCTGCAGGAGCGCACAGGAGCGGAGCTCCGGCAGTAAAGAGCCCAGGGGGCGGGCACATGCAGCAAGCCCCACCCCCTGCTCCCAGCAGCCCCCAGTCAGAGCAAGAAGCAGCCAGGTAATTTGCAGAGCCCCCCCCCCGGTCCAAAACAGTCCAGTGGCACCTTTAAGACCAAGATTTATTTAGGTACAAGCTCTCCCTCCTCTGCGAGGACAGATCTGCACCTCCCCCCCCCCCCCCATAGCTAGCAATCCAAAACAGTCCAGTGGAGCCTGAGCGGTGGGTGTTGCCTTCTGGCACACTTTTGGTGATGTCAGAGGGTGTGGCATATGCAAATGAGTTATGCTAATAAGCTCCTGCACCTCTTTTTCTACGAAATGACCCCTGACTAGCATTATTTGTAGACTCCCTTTCTCACTGGGACAAGGCAGATTACAAAAATGCAACCAATCAGTAAGTGGACTACAACAAATTTGAATTCAACAGCAACAATTCCTAACAAGCCAAAACAATGTAGTTGGGCTGGTATTATAGGACGGAGGAAAGAAGAAGAGTTGGTTTTATACCCCACCCGTATATCTGAAGGAGTCTTGGAGTGGCTTACAACCACTTTCCCCTTCCTCTCCTCCAGTGCTCCCTCTAAGCTGAGTCGGTATGAGCCAGCTCACAGTTTTTAAGCTTCCAGCTCACAGATTTTTGCCTCAGCTCAGGAAGGATGGCTCCAGAGCAAAGTAATTTATGCAGTCGCCAAATCACTTGCTCACAACTTTGACGCCAGTAGCTCACAAAATAGAATTTTTGCTCACAAGGCTCCACAGCTTAGAGGGAGCATTGCTCTCCTCACAACAGACACCCTTGTGAGGAAGGTGGGGCTGAAAGAGCGGTGACTGACCCAAGGTCACCCAGCTGGCTTCATGTGGAGGAGTGGGGAATCAAACCCGGTTCTCCAGATTAGAGTCCTGCTGCTCTTAACCACTACACCAATCTGGTTCTACAACATACAACATAACCACAACATACCTGCTTAAGGCAACTAGACCATCTATGAAGTTCTATAATCTTTAAGACCAATACGGGAACACCTTCTTAAGCTTACCATCTATGCATTAAATGAGGACCTGAAAAGCATGCACAGTGACATTCGTGGAGGATGCGCTTGAACACTGGAAATTGTTTTCCCTTAATGATGTGTTTTTTGGAAGCAGCGCAAGAACTTTTTATTCCAATTAGATTTTGGTGGCAAGATGGATGAAAACAAAATGCATGTGCGATTGACATACTATTACCTGCCCAGGTTTCTAACTTGCCCATATTCCTCTAAAGCAGGGAGGACAGGAACTGGAAGGAGGTTCCTTCCAACAGCAGCAGATATTTTGCAACCTACTATGACTAGCCTTACCTGTTTGGGGCAAGTGGGAGGGATAAGCTACTCCCCAGGATACTTTCTGCCACTCAACGGAGGATAAAACTTTAGACTAAGTAAGAATGGATACACAGGCTTTGGCAGAATGCATCCATTTACCAGAACTTCACATATCCCCTGCAGATCTATGCATTCTGGACTCAGACAACAGAATTTCAGTGGGGAGAGGGAGGGAGAAGAGAGAAGACTTCTATTAACTGGAAACATCAGCATGAGCAAGTTTTAATGGCACATTTAAATGTATTCACCGAGCGATAGGTAGAAAGATAGTGGGCAAAGATATCTTTCTGCTGAGATGGTTGCATGGGTACAGAGCCAAACATCCGCCATTCCTGCAGCAAGAAGAAATGAAGGGCTAGTATTAGGAAACGGAACTATTAAACAAGCTAGGCTATCTTGTTTTTTTAAAAAATATATTATTATTATTATTTTGCCATCAAGTCAAACTGACTTGTGGCGACCCCTAGTGGAGCTTGAAGGCAAGAGACGTTTCAGAGGTGGCTGGCCATTGCCTGCCTCTGCGTAATGCCCCGGTATTCACTGGAGGTCACCCTTCCAAATACTAGCCAGGGCTGGCCCTGCATAGCTTCCGAGATCTGACAAGATCAGGCTTGCCTGGGCAGGGCTTAATTGTTTGATGTATTATCACAAAGCTTCGTTATACATATTCAGTAACACCAAAAGCTGAAGTATAAACTATAACTAAAGGAAATCCAGAAAATAGTGTGCAGAAGGGGGGGGGGGGGAAACGAAAAGTCACTATAAGATCTTCTGCCACTTAGATTCCTTGGGTGCTTTTCTAGCTGGTTCCACTATTAGCTTGGGAGCCCCAGACAAGCTTTATCCAAATTCATGAAGGGTGCACAGAAAGAAAACCTCTGTTGACTGCACCACAATGTCATCTTTGGCATATATGGCAACCTGACAGACTTCATTGTCAAGTTTCTTACAAGTACATAGCACACTGACTGGGCAATGCACTACCTCCAAAACCAGAGGTCATTTCGGGGGGGGAACACGGGGGAACGCAGTTCCCCCGGGTGAGGTGCAGGGGGGCGGGGCACATGACGAAGCCCCGCCCCCTGCTTCCGGCCGCCCCGCTTCCAGCCCTCATTCAGCCAGGAGGAGGCAGGAGAAGAGGGAGGGTAAGTTGCTTCCTCCCCGCCTCTCCCCACCCCTGCCTGCCTGGGGCCAGGGAGGGCCTTGGCGGGGCTTCCTCGCACTCCTGCTGGCCTTGCAGGTCCACCGCCGGGCCCCTGATGTCAGGGGGTGTGGCATATGCTAATGAGTTATGCTAATGAGATCCCCTAGCTCTTTTTCTACGAAATGACCCCTGTCCAAAACTATACATATATGCAAGAGGGAGACCTCTTATACATATTAGAATAAACCTGTATTTAAAATGAACACCAATCTTCTCTACTAGCAAAAGTTGTAAGTCTAGCAAAATGCACAAGTTTATTAACATTTAAGAAACATGGGCTAAATGAAAACATGATCCTCAAATGTGCTATTCTCATCAGCATAGCTAGAAAAACAGAACAAAACACTAAATCTGTAGCTAACAAGGGGCTGGGATCTCCCCAGGTGCGCTCTCCCTCTTTGGAGGTTATAAAGAAGAGCCTCAAGGGCCACCGGACAACAATGCTGATTCTATGACTCACTATGCATTTAGGCAGATCATGAGAGGGAAGGCAGGTAGGAATGAGGCAATGCTCAGCTCTCGCGGCCCTTTCTCACGTGCCCAGAGTAATGCCGATTGCAATTCTGGGGTCAGGAAGGAATTTTCCTCCAGGCCAGAATGGCCCAGGGATTCTAGAAGTTTTTTTCTTTCTTCTGGGCATACAGCAGGGGTCTGTGAGGGGCGGCGGGGGGGTTAGTTGTGAATTTCCTGCATTGTGCAGGGGAATTGGAACAGATGGCCCCTGAAGTCCCTTCCAGTTCTATGTTTCTATGGTCCAAAGAATTCAGAAACATCAACAGTATGGTGTGTGCCCACTGCAATCTTCCCCTTCTCTGAAGACCATGCTATTATCAAATTGATTTTGAAAGTCCCCTCAGCTGCGCAAGTGTGGAACACAAGGCTAAGAAAACTGCAGCTGCAAAGCACACTTGGGTGTAAAGAACTAGTTAGACGCTTCTTTGAATTCTGGACAATACCACAATTGCACATCTCTTTGGTACTTACATCTGTGACTCCACTTGGTGCGCATATATTAAAACCTGGATAGTTTACCAACTTGGAGACATCGTAACTGACATGCCGATTCTGTTGGAGGCATTCTTCCACCACAGTTTCACCACCAGGAGATGCTGGAACAAACAATTACCAATATTGCTGATGCAAAAAGTATTTGGTGCATACAGCTTTTTGTACTGCTGAATCACATCAACAGAAGTGCTAATATGTGCATGGATTCTGAAGCTGGAGTTGGGAGTAAGCAGTGAAGTGGCTAAATTTGCGGATGATACGAAGTTGTTCAGGGTGGTGAAAACCAGTGAGGATTGTGAGGCACTCCAAAGGGATCTGTCAAGGATGGGCGAGTGGGCGTCAACATGGCAAATGGGGTTCAATGTGGCCAAGTGCAAGGTGATGCACATTGGAGCCAAAAATCCTAAATATAAATACACGTTGATGGGGTCTGAACTGGCAGAGACTGATCAAGAGAGAGATCTTGGAGTTGTAGTAGATAACTCACTGAAAATGTCGAGACAGTGTGTGACTGCAATAAAGAAGGCCAATGCTATGCTGGGGAAGGGTATTGAAAACAGATCAGCCAATATCATAATGCCCCTATATAAATCAATGGTGCGACCTCATTTGGAATACTGTGTGCAGTTCTGGTCACCACACCTTGAAAAGGATATTATAGCTTTGGAAAAAGTGCAGAAAAGGGCAACTCGAATGATAAAAGGGTTGGAACACTTTCCCTATGAGGAAAGGCTAATGCGCTTAGGGCTCTTTAGCTTGGGAAAACGACGACTGAGGGGAGACATGATTGAGGTTTATAAGATTATGCATGGGAAAGAGCAGGTCGAGAAAGAGGTACTTTTCTCCCTTTCTCACAATACGAGAACTCGTGGGCACTCAATGAAATTGCTGAGCGGTCGGGTTAGAACGGATAAAAGGAAGTATTTCTTCACCCAAAGAGTGATTAACACATGGAATTCACTGCTACAGGAGGTGGTGGCGGCTACAAGCATGGACGGCTTCAAAAGGGAATTAGATAAGCATATGGAGCAGAGGTCCATCAGTGGCTATTAGCCACAAGGTATAGATAGGGACTCTGGGGCAAGTGATGCTCTGTCTTCTTGGTGCTTGGGGGGGCCAACAGTGGGAGAGCTTCTAATGTTCTGGCCCCACTGGTGGACCTCCTGATGGCACCTGGTATTTCTGGCCACTGTGTGACACAGAGTGTTGGACTGGATGGGCCTTTGGCCTGATCCAACATTGGCGTCTCTTATGTTCTTATATTCTTAACCCTTTGAATATAAAGAACAGAGTAATCAAGGAAGAATGGACCATTTCCATATGCCCATGAAGAAAAGGTCTACTTAATACCAGGCACAGATACCCAAGAAACAGTTCATGATGGGTAGGTAGCAATTAACCAAAGAACTTCCTGGATGTGAAACAGAGCGAAAGCTGACAACTTCAAACATAGGAAAGAGAGATTGATCAAAGCGCATACAGTAAAGCACTATGGTCAGCAGTCATCACCCCCCAATCTATTCCCACAAATACTGACACTTTCCTTCACATTTCATTGTGACTCTTCAAAAACTCATCATTTCCCATTCTCAGTTTAGATATTAAACATGAAAAACTTACAAAAGAAAGAAAGCTACAGAACTTACAGAATGCATAACTTTTGGCTTTATACTTGTTTAACTGATTGGGTCGTGTGTGTCCAGATTTTTTTGTACCTTTTGATTAGAACAGGTCTACCTAATAGTGGAAGTTTAGTTATTCTCATTATTGCAACTTTCAGAGTCATGCTCTACATAACCCCCCCCCCCCACACACACAAGGGCTCTGGAAACTTGTTCTAACTCTGGAAAACAATGTGTTAAGTAAACTCAATCACATCTCACCACTCATTTCACCTTGACCGTCGTAGAGAGTTAGGCCAGATTTTTCGTTTTCAGCCTCTCTGAGCCAACCTGGGGGATAACCCAGCTGCCGCATCCGATAGATGAAGGGAGGAAGAGTCTTCTCTGTGACACCAAGCGCATCCTGAAGCTCCTCACTACAGTAAGGGGGAAAAAAATCCTGTAAGAAACATGGAGACGCTTAACACCACTATTGAGAATTGTGTCTTGAACTGCTAGCATTTCAGGAAACACACAGAAAAGTCCATCCACTTTGTACACTGGGAATAACATGGTCATGACTGAAGGCCACACTGGAATTATAACGAATGCCGGAGGACTGTGCCCAATTTGAGTAGCTTTCTAATTTGGTGGAGAGGTGTGTGTAGATGGGCTCAAAATCGGCCTCCCATCCTTAGGCTGTCCTTGGGAATTAGTGCTCACAGCATAAACTCTCTTGGTACTGAATTTATTTAATTTATGTTTGCAGAATAACTGCTTAATCTTGCTAATGAATGAGTCAGTACTAGGCTATGGATGACAGTGTGTTTAGTCAGCAGGAGAAATGTTACCTAATTATTCCCGGTCTGAACCTTCCAAACCTTTCTTCAATTTCTTCAGCATGGTATCGCTGCTGGAAGTTTTGGTTGCTTGCTTCCCCATAAGCCTCCATGAACTCTTTTCTTTTTTCATTTATACGGGCAGCATTTCGTGGCTGAAAGATAGTTGAGGGGGGGGGAAATGAATAAAATACCAACTTCCAAGTCATATGCACAATTTATTTGGACTGACCTGTGGCATGCACAGTTATTCCTGATTGACTTGTCGCTATAGGGCCCTTTCCAGAGCTTCTTAGGTCTTTGAGGGAGGATTCATTGGGGTCAAGCCCGGCAGCAACCATGGGGTGACTTACTGCAGTTTGCACAGCTTACAGAGCAGTAAGTTACAAAGAGAAATACAGCTGGTTTATACTTGCAAGCTTTGTTCATCAGTGATTATAGTTAAATACAATGCCTCCTTACAAATTCCAGAATATTCAAACAGGTAACTAGAAGGAACATATACAAATGAGCACCAGTGAGAATGTTACATAGACTGAAAAGTCCCAGTAACTATAAATACGACCAAATTCCAGACAGTAAAACAAAGCAATAAAACAAAAGCAAAGCAATATAGAACTCTGTCCAATAAAACATAGTTGAGGTCAGATGTCCCACGCATACAGTGTCACATAATACATGGACCAATGGATTTGGAAAGAAAATAGAACTGATCTCTAAATACCTTTATCTCCAGGCGGTTGAATGCACAGAGAAACAAATGTATGAAGTATGCTAACTGCAGAAGAGCCAGGTCCTAACTTAAACCTATATTATCACTTGCGCTCATTCATCTATGCTTCTTCTAAATGTGTTTTTAATATTCTGTATTTTGACTGTTTTAGTATGATCTTATTAATGTTCCTTCTATATCATGTTTCAGATCCCCTGATTAAGTGCATACATGAGAAACATGTGGAGGATTTCTTAGTATTCATATAATAATTTTTCACTTTTCCACTGCACCATTGGCGTTTGGGCTTGCTCTTTTTCATCTTGGTGACTGGCGCAGCCCTCTAATTTTCCTGTTCTCTATGTTGAATAATTTTTTTAAGCCAGTGCTTCCAGATTTACCCATATTTAGCTGTAACTACTTATCAGCATGTTTTAGTAGAGACAAACAACTCTTGTGACAAGAGTGTGGAATATATTTTACCTGCGGACAATCTTTCATTTGATGGTCTTCACATCCACAGTTGAAGCAGTGAGGTTTTGGCCTGGTTATAAGAGTAGTAACAAATTTAGATGGCAACGCTAATGTTAGCCTGTCAAATGTGTAATTACTGCACAGAGGTTCACTGTCCTTTAAAAAACAAACTCATTCCACAGTACCTGCTAGCTCAAGCCAACAGCAAAACATGATCTAGTATAAGAAGGCTCAAGATTAACAGTGCAGCCCTATGCAGAGTTCCTCCAGACTAAGCCTATTAAAACCAATGGGCTTTCATTGGAGTAACTCCACACAGGCTTGTATTGGAAGTATACCAACAACTATGCTGTCATTTGTATTGCAACGACTTCACACCAGCATGGCAGACGTGAGTCTGAGGCCTGGATGTAGGCAACAAAAGGACGCCTTTAAAAATTTATGTTCAACAGCAAACACCAATGACTTAATGCTGTACCTCAGACTATGCTCACAAAATTCGAACAATGTGGGATAAGAGATATGATAAAAACCACCACGTGGAAAGATATGGTTGCATGTATAACATACTTTTTTTGTGTGATGCTATAAACAAACCACCATATATAAACAGGATTCCCAACGAGAACTGGAAAAGAAAGATGTTTCCCCCTCCACCTTAACTACTTATTTATTTAGGATAATTCCAAACTGTCCTCTTCAGACTCCTGCTCAAGGCAGCTGGCAATTAAAACATCACAATATTTTTTAGAAAACCACTGAAAAGAAGCCATTAGACATAAACAGCATAGGAACTATCCATAAAAGAAAAGCAGACATTTCTCAACTAAGAAATCATTGTCAAGCTTTGATAACACCAATGGTTTATTTTTCCAAAATATCTGAGAAGCATTTTATTTATTTGGTGTAGTGGTTAAGTGCACAGACTCTAATCTGGGAGAACCAGGTTTGATGCCCCACGCCTCCACTTGCAGCTGCTGGTGTGACCTCGGGCAAGCTGCAGTTCTGTCAGAGCTGTTCTTGAAAAAGAGCAGTTTCTGTCAGAGCTCTCTCAGCCCTGCCTACCTCACAGGGTGTCTGTTGTGGGGAGGGGAAGGGAAAGGGGTTTGTAAGCCGCTCTGAGACTCTGAGTGAAAGGCGGGGTATAAATCCAATCTCTTCTCTCTTCTTCTTTATTTATTTAGGATATCTCTATGTCACATCTTCAGAGTCCTGCTTGAAGTAGCTTATAATTAAGCCTTAACTTCTATTTGAAGACGTCATCCACACATCATTCCCCATCCCACCAAATCATAGCATTTGAGGATTTTGTTTTAATCCACTTTATTAAATTAAGCTACTGGTTCAACCTACAGTATCCTTCTCAAGCATTCATATACTTCATTCCTTTTGCACATTCAGAAAATTATTCCCCTGGCAATATTTTTTGCTGGCATTTCTGGCTAACAAACTTATTTTTGTGAGAGGTCGAATTAGATGAGAGAGACTAAGACAGCAACATAAAAAGCTACTTCAGGTGAACCAAGCCCAACAGCTTCCAAGTGTCCACTCGGACTTTGAGGGGGGTTTTCCTGTCAGAACATACCTCTCTCACCCCCTCCCAATAAAACCATGCCCTATCACAAAGTATTTTACAAACATCCCTCCATTTAAAAAGAGGAAAGACGCATGCACAACCACAATCCCAAATCTCCACACACATAGAGCTAAATTGCATGATTCTTAGGAACCTGGCCACATTCTCCTATAAGTCATATACTAACCACAATACCATTCAGATTCAAGAGCAATACAAACCTTTTAGGCTTCACTTGTATCTCTTGTCCATCTAGAGAAAGAATCTGCGTGAAAACTTGCTGGTATCTTAAAGAGTTCAATAAGGAATTGCCATTGTATGAAGCAGAATGGAACTTCTTTTCACATATTTGTAACATTAGCCCAAAAATTAATGCATACTATAAGCTCAAAACCAATGTTAACAAGATGGCGAGATTCTGCTTGGGAAAACCCCCAGCTCTGCCAGTCTTTAAAACATGCCGTCTCTTTCTAGTGAAGGTTCATCTGACATATGTCATGTTGCCTGCCTTGCCCTCCTTTCCCCCCAAAATGCAACATCAAGCAGCATTTTAAAGTAGAGCATGAATTCTACTGCTTCTGGTGGGTGGATCATTCAATAATAACTGTACATGCTGCATAATTCATGGCATCAGAGCTGTGTATTTAAGGATGTCCAAAAATGTACAGATTGAGTGCCAACCTGTTTTAGCACTGATGGGATTAAGTAGCAGTATTTAACATAAAAAATTAACATTTAACTAAATAGGATACTTGGGTATTTCCCATCCGTCTGTGAGCTGAGGATTTTCATTTAATATGGGCTGCCCCAGTTTATCAAGACAAAAATTGGTAAAATAGAACACACTCCCTATAACCTGTAGAAAGAGCCAGAAAGTGTCAGTATTTTATCAGATTGAAAGACAACATTTAACACAAATGTACTTATAAATTTCACAAATTTCTATTCTGATATAATAAAGTACTTTAAAAGATAAGCATATGGAGCGAAAGTCCATCAGTGGCTATTAGTCACAAGGTATAGATAGGAACTCTCGGTCTGGGGCAAGGGATGCTCTGTATCCTTGGTGCCAGGGGGGGGGGCAACAGGGGGAGGGCTTCTAGTGTCCTGGCCCTACTGCTGGACCTCCTGATGGCACCTGGTCTTTTTGGCCCCTGTGTGACAGAGTGTTGGACTGGATGGGCCACTGGTCTGATCCAACATTGGCTTCTCTTGTGTTCTTATAAAGAATGGATCTCAAGTTTAAGGACTAGTAAATATGCCCCCCCCCCCCCGAATTATGCCCAGCCAATTATTATGAGATACTGTCTTCCCAGAGTTAGATAGAACTAACTGCTGTATTTAAGGGTAATGACAATTACAAGGCTATTTACAGATCTTTCTGTCAATCTTCTAGTGCCACTGCACGAAGATCTAAGACTCATACACGTACACCACAAAATAGAAGAGTAACTTACACTAAAAGCTTCCTTCATCTTTTTGGATGGGTTTGGGCATGTCACTTTATGGTCATCTTCCAGCACAAAACTAGAGGGCTAAGAAGAAAAAGAAGTCACAGCTTGCAAAACTCGAGGCCATACTTCTCAGAGAGGGAGGTGCAGGATTCTGTCTATTCTCCCTTGCCTGCCCCCTTACGCCTTAATTCCCTCCCAAGCCACCTACACGGAGACAACCCTCTCTTTTCCCCTTTGAAAGGCCCTTTTGTACATGAGAGCTTTCTGCGCACACTGGAGAGCATGTGGAGCTCCAAATCAGTGAGTCTCCAATGTGTTGTACCAAAATGAAGAGGAATACTGGATGGTTTAAGCTGATCCAAATAGGGTGTATAGTTTCCCTAAATGACAAGATGCAAAAATGCAACGGGCAGTTCTGACAGATCAATCATACCAAAGGATATAAGTAATTCAGAGAAAAAAAATATGTATTTTAAAATTCTTTTTAAGGCAACATGGTACACTGCGATTAGTCTACTTAACAGCAACTTTACAAAACAAAACTGAAATTATATTTCAATCACTACATTTATACATATATTGAATATAAAAATACCTGTGGCTTAACATTGAAGTACGTCTTGTCAGGTTCTGCTCTCTGCTGCTCCTCATATCTCTGAACTAAACTAGATATAAAATCCTCTATTTCTTGATGATATTGCCTAGACAAGAGAATTATGAGAATAAACAAGGCTGCCCTGTTCATTTGTAAACCCCACAAGAAATGGCAAAATATGCATCTCAGATAAAGTCTTTTCTACATTAATCATACTGAGGAGTTTATTCTGCAGATTTCTCTTGTGGATCATAAAGAAGAGTTTGTACATATAATCTCTACAAAGATGTGAATGCATCTATTACCCAGCGTGCTGGTAGCATTGCAGAAATTCTTTCTGTTCGATGGGGGG